TTCCGCACTTTAATTATCATTTATTTCTTTTACATATTTCTGGAGTCGTTGCGGTTAAAATATTATTTTTTACTATTTAAATGATAACTATAAAATTACTAATTCATTAACATTAAGAATTTATTTTTTCTAAACTACATATCAAGTCTTTTGGAAATGTATGATACTAATTTTTGTCTTTTACATGCTACCAACACATAAAAATGTTTATATATTAATATAAATAATCATAGAATTTCCAAACTCATGGAAAAAAAAAAAAATCAACAATTTGATAAGTTACATCCTTAAAAGACTCAATAAAGTTTTCTGTTACTTTTTTTTTTGTTGAGAAATAAGAAGTAAAATATAAAATTTACTTTTGTGATAACTTAGACATTATGAAGAAGAAAAGCTCGCACGAAAGAGCGAGGTATCTACGTGCTCAATGAGAACAAATTTGGCGGAGATGATGTATTATCTTTTTTTTTAATTTACAAAATAATGAAAGAGAAATTATTTTTTAAAGAAGACGATAGATATAAAAAAAATAGAACTTCTTCACATTATGACACAAATGAGATGTTACGTACTAAAAAGGAAAATAATATCGTTAAAAAGTTACGAGCTCGCTTCGATAAAGTAAGAAGAGATAAAAATATTTGTTGACATGGTATCCACATAGGTATTAACATGGGTGCTACATCGACAAATTTAAAACGGATATAACTTGGTTTGTCCATATCTCCTCCTACTTCATCATCGATGAGCATAAGCATAAATGCGAGTAGATAAATTTAACATATATAGATAATTTTATCATATTTCTAAAACTCATAAAAAACTTTGAACAAAAAATACATTAAATAGAAATTTAATATTCTAATATGAATAAATATATATATATATATATATATGAAAAAATATCATCCCGACTCGAATTAATAACCTCTTATAGAATGCGATAATTAATTCTATATATACATGTATGTCTAATTGTTGAAGCGTGAATACCGGCACCCAAACTTGAATTAGCTATGGCTTAAATATAAGCAAGCGTGAATTAATGGGTGGTTTGGATCAACCCTCCCCCTTTAAACAAGCAATCATTATAATTATTAATTCCCATCAGACACAATTTAACAACAAATCCTTTTCTTTATGATGATACTTTAATTTCCTTCCTATTCAATTTTTGTCTCATTCTACTCATAATTTATTGTGCATTCTTATTTTAAATAATTAACTATTTTTAAATTTAAGCTAAACCCATATTATCAAAAAAATAATTAATTTCTTTTGAAATTTACGAATATTTATTGATCATTCGTTTGTTTGTTTGTTTGTTGAGATTAAATATAATTTTAATTCAATCAAAATTACACTATCTATTTATACAAAATGTAGGGATTTACTATAAGAAATATATATATATATATATTGAGATTAACTTAATACGCACAAGAATAAATACCAAAAAATAAATAAATAGTTATAAACTATTTTAGGACAAATAAAACATTAAAAAAATAATAATTGATCTTTTAGGATAATGTGTGTTTGAATTTAGTTTTTATCTTTTAAAAATATTATAATATTAATAATTTTACTGTTATTAGTACGGAAATGATAAATAATTATTGAAATATAAGAATTTGGATTCAAATTTAGCAACAAACTTTTTTAAAAAGAAAAAGCACGAAGACAACTATAATGGAGTTTTGCCGTCCTTAATTTTTGCTAATCCCCCATTGTTGTTTTGTCCTCTTGACAAAATTCACG